TTCACATCTGGGCATCTGCAAGACTGCAGTAGAATCTGTCCAACTATGGCTTACTGGTGTACTAAAAAACCCCAGGCCCTGATAGGTACAGTAGGAATAAAGTCAGAAATCCTCTTTCTTTGTCAGCTCTTCCATCTTATAGAACCAGTTCATCATCATTATCCTCCTAGCATTATTTCCACAGGTGCAAGGGTCTGTTTTTTGATTGACAAATGCCTTCTTGCACAATCAAACACAGCATCTGTGTCATGTCTACATTTTGACTATAGATCCATTGGTTGCGACAAAAAAAATCTGACCAAGCAGCTTGTCACCTGAGCCTGAGGTCAGTCTTGTACAACTAGTGGCTTTTAGAAATGAGATTAATGTCCTTAATATAGGGCAGTGGTTCTCAACCTTTTTAATGCCGTGACCCCCCAACCGGTCGTAAGTCGAGGACTACTCAACCGGCCGTAAGTCAAGGACTACTCAACTGGTGCAGCACCATTTGCAGAATGGGACTTTTGGCGGGCTCAGCAGGGCAGAGACAGCCTGGACAATTCCTATTGGCTTTTGAAAGCCAATAGAATTAGACTCTATTCAAGAGAGTTATTCTATTGGCTTTCAAAAGCCAATAGAATAAAAGGGAGTAGCACAGCTAAAGAAAAGGGGAAAAAATGGCGGACTGCGTTGTTTGGCGACCCCCGTGAAATGGTCGTTCGACCCCAAATGGTGTCCCGACCCACAGGTTGAGAACCACTGATGTAGACTTACTAAACCTGTGTTCTTTAACTGGGCATTTAAGAATGACAAGGCAGTAAATCTGTAGCTAGCATATATACGGGGATTGCTTCTTTTGTTTTAATGTGGTTAGGATATTGAATTGCTGGGGTGGCACAGTGGTTAGAATGCTGTATTGCAGGCTAACTCTGCCCACTTCCAGGAGTTCGCTCAAGGTTGACTCAGCCTTCCATTCTTCAGTAAAATGAGAACCCAGATTGTTGGGGGCAATATGCTAACTCTGTAAACTGCTCAGAGAGTGCTGTAAAGCAGTGGTCCCCAACTTTTCTGGTTTCGTAGCCCAGGGGGAGGGGATAGTTCCCTGCAAATGATAGGTGGGTTTGCGCAAGCGTGCACAACTTCATTTGTGGTAAGGGAGCTTCGTGTGTGAGTGCAAGTGGACACTGCTCGCTCAAGGAGAGCTTCATGTGTGCACATGTGCTCATCCCCGCTCACACAACCCAATTACAAACAGGTTACAGCCCGCTAGTGGGTCGCAGCCCAGAGATTGTTTATACTATTTTAGTGCATGAGAATTTATACTAAGACTTCTAATAAAATCTGCCTTAAAGCTTTGTACAGTTCCTGTTTTCAAGGCCAACTTTAGGTCACTTATAGAGTAACCTGGGAAGTTAACATGTACCCTATTTTGTTTTATTTTGTTTTTTAATGCTGGAAGAATTGGCATTGGACACTGCTCCTGAGTATTGTCCCTGCTTCTCAATCATTGTGGTTAGTCCAATGTTGATTAGCAACTATTTTAAGTTTGGTAATTCTATAAACAGCTTGCTTTCTATTCAAACATATGAAATTAGAAGTTAGAACTGTCTAGGCTAAGTTATAAATCATTATATGCCTGCATCATTTTATTGGGAACTGTAGGTAGCAAGCAATAGCATTTGGTTGTACTCTATACTTTGTACTGTTGTGCATTAATCCTAAGCGGCAATCCAGTTCTTTTTTTCTCTTTCTTAACTTCATTGCGCTATATTTGTATCTTGAGAATTTCCTGCTTTAAATATGTATGCTTATCTCATGAGTCTGAATGATTTGTATATTATAGGTATCACTAGAAACAATGGATTTCTTGGTGTGTTCTGAATGGAAGCTAGAGACACCTAAACATTTGTTGTGGTCAGTTTCTGGTAGAAGATAGAAGTCACATATCCAAAGTAAACTTTCACAATAAGTCTAGAAAGTGAAACTATTATGTGGACCACCTAGTTCCATTCAGTTATGCAAATTCAAGAATGCAAGAACTACAGAGTTTTAAGGCAGTGTTAATGCTAATCTGCAATTAAATATAAAATCCTGCAGACTATAGCTCATTTAAGGTGAGTTGTTATGATAGAGACTCATTGAATTTTTTTCTTCCAGGTTTCTTATCACCCTGGCTGATTTGCTACCAATAAATTCAAACTCTGTATCTTGATTGTTTGTGTCTCTTCTCCCTCCTTCTCAGCTATTCCAGTCTCTCACACATGGTGATGGTTGTATTCTGAATCCTTAATCAGGAGCCTTGAGGGGCTACTAGACATTAAGCTGAGGATCTTCACTGTATCGTCTGTTTCTTTTATGTTAAAGTTTCTACTTAAAGTGATCCTGAAGAGAGCTACAAATTTGTTTTCATGGTGAACATATACATGGGAATTCTGTGCCATCAAAATAGTATAAAACAACATCAGGAAAAAAAAGGCATACAAATTCTGCAGCTGCAGATAACATTATACTTAAATTATACTTAAAATGGAGTAGCTACCATTTCAAAGTGGGTTTTTTACTGATGTTTACAAGAATTCAACTGTTTTATCAAAGCAGTCGTCTGAACATAAATGCAAATTCAAACTGTGTTGTTTATCATCTTCATGACAAATTAATGTGATTTTTTTTTGTGACTGTCATTTTGAAGTATCTATAAGTTCCTGCATGAATTATCTGGGATAATTTCACAGCCATAATTTTGCATCTGTTTGTGTCGACAGTGAAAATAAGAGTCCTTGAGATATTTATAATTTGTCTGCAGTGGACATTTTTATTAAAACGTTCGTTGTATGCATATAATTTGTACTTTAACTAAGAGCTTGTCTCTCAAGCAATATAATCTATTTAAAGAAGAATTTAAAGAATGGAAGATAATGTGAAGTTACGATTCTCTTTACTATTATGCTGTATTCCTGTTAATTTACAGAATACAAAATAAGGCTTGAAAGGGATCTTGGAGGTCTTCTACTCTAACCCCTTGCTCGAGCAGGAGTCTCTATATCATTCCAGATAAATGGCTATCCAATCACTTTCTAAAAATCCTGATGGAGAAACTTCTGGAGGCAAGCCATTCTATTGATTAATTGTTCTCATTGACAGGAAATTTCCCCTTAATAATAATAATAATAATAATAATAATAATAATAATAATAGTAGTAGTAGTAGTAGTAAAGTTGGAAGGGACCTTGGAGGTCATCTAGTCCAACCCCCTGCTCGGGCAGGAAAACCTACACCATTTCGGACAAATGGCTGTCCAGTCTCTTCTTAAAAACTTCCAGTGTTGGAGCATTTACTGCTTCTGGAGGCAAGCTGTTCCACTGATTAATTGTTCTCACTGTCAGGAAGTTTCTCCTTAGTTCTAGGTTGCGTCTCTCCTTGATTAGTTTCCACCCATTGCTTCTTGTCCTGCCTTCAGGTGCTTTGGAAAATAGCTTAATTCCCTCTTCTTTATGGCAGCCCCTGAGATATTGGAATATTGCTATCATGTCCCCCCTTGTCCTTCTCTGCGTTAAACTAGACATACCCAATTCTAGCAACCGTTCCTTATATGTTCTCTCTTGGATAAGCTCCCATCCATTACTTTTTGCCCTGTCCTGCTTTGGAGAATAAGTCAACTCTCTCTTCTTTGTACAGCCTCTCAAATATTGGAAAACTTCAGTCATCTCACCCCTTGTCCTTTGTTGAACTAGACATATGCAGTTCTCTCAACCATTCATCATATGTTTTAGCTTCCAGTCCCCTGATCTTCTTTATTGCTCTTCTCTGCACTCTTTTTTAGGATCTCAACATATAAAGTGGTACTAACACTTCACACGATCCTGATACTATCCCTCTGTTAATTCAGCCTAGGACTGCATTGGCTTTTCTGGCAGTTGCAGCACACTGCTGGCTCATACTTAAGTGGTTATCCACTTAAGTACCAGTATGTTACTGCTGTTAGCTAGGTACCATCCTTTTGATAGGATGCTTCTTTACTAAACTGCTCTACTCTTGTCTCTTATTTTCTACTCATACCTCTAAACCAGTGGTTCTCAACCTTTTTATACGGCGACCCCCGGTCACACTGATGTGCCGCCCCTGCGCGGCGCGCATGCGCAGCGCCGCCCCCTGAGGGGGAAAAATGGCAGATCGCGTTGTTTGGCGACCCCCCGTAAAATGGTCGTTCGACCCCAAATGGGGTCGCAGCCCATAGGTTGAGAACCGCTGCTCTAAACTATTGCTGGAAATAATGGTTCCCAGATTTAACATGTGAGCACTTGATTCAAGATTTGGACCCTCTTAACAATTTGGGGTTTTGTGTCCTTCAAAAGGCTTGGGCTCAGCACTATATGTAGATTTGATGAAAAGGAAGTAGATGATGATTTAAATGACACAGAAATAGAAGGTTGAGAACAAGCAACATCAAATGTGTGTATACACATAAACATTTATGTGGTGTCCATATCTACAGAGAAAAAGGGGTAATTCAGCAAGATATGTGTACAGGACTGCAACCATCTTTTTTCCTTTTCCCATCCCAATAGGTTTTAAGTCTTCATCTGTTCATATTTATGTATGTGGCCATACTCATTACAATGTCTTTAAAATATATTATAGGTTTAATAATTATGAATACCCTCAAAGAATTAAGTGAAAAGTGGGAGGGGGAAGCCGTTTGGATTGTTTCTCTTTTAAAAAGTTACATAGTCTTGGATGGATGTAAAAAGTTTGTTGCTTTGTTTAAAACTGATGTTTATATATGTTTGTGTGTGTTTAAACTCTTTATTTCTTTTGTTTGTTTCTGAAACCCTCCCCCCTTTCTTTCTGTATTTTAATAGAAATGAAAAGAAGTCTAAAGAGCATTGACTTGAAGTTATAGCCAAGGATATTAGTTTGGAGTTATGATTCTTCTCGGAGGAATTTATAAGGGGTATGTGTGTGATGAATTTCATGGTAGTATAATGTAAAAATAATCTGGGTTTTTTTGTGTCTTTTTATAGCCCAGTCATTAAAAGAGTTTGCCCGATTACTGATTGCTGTAGAAGAGGAAAGAAAACGCCTGGTAAGTCTGCATGAGAATATACTTGTAAAACTCCACTTCTCTTTCTATATCCTAGAACAGGGGTAGGCAACCTTGGCTCTTTTATGACTCGTGGACTTCAATTCCCAGAATTCCTGAGCCAGCCTGGCTCAGGAATTCTGGGAGTTGAAGTCCACGAGTCATAAAAGAGCCAAGGTTGCCTACCCCTGTCCTAGAAAGTCCCTATTTCAGTTTTCTAAATCCCAGCAAGAAGTTACCATGTTTAAAAAAAAATACTGGGCAGAATAAATGGACAATTTGTACTTTACAGTCTGCATATTCTGCTTTTTTTTCTTTTCACGTTTAAGAGTTGTGGTGGCACAGTGGTTAGAATGCAGTACTGCAGGCTACTTCTGCTGACTGCTGGCTGGCAGCAATTTGGAAGTTCGATTCTCACCGGCTCAAGGTTGACTCAGCCTTCCATACTTCCGAGGTCGGTAAAATGAGGACCCAGATTGTTGGGGGCAATAAACTGACTCTGTAAACCGCTGAGAGAGGACTGTAAAGCACTGTGAACCGGTATATAAGTCTAAGTGTTGTTGCTTATTGGTATTAAGAAACCAACCTTATTCAGAATTCTTGCTTTTACTGCACTATATAGCTGTTACGGTTAGTTGCAGCTATGATGCTTCTTCTCTTTTTTAAACATGAAGAACATTTAGCCCAAAGACCCTAGATTAAAGTTATATAACTTGAAACTGAAAGTAAAGCTTAGCCCCTTTGCTCCCATCCCAAATACTTGCACAAGTTACTACCAAGTTGTAATATAGATGTCCTTAACTTACAACCATTTCTGTAGTATAGGTAGTCCTCAACTTACAACAGTTCATTTAGTCACCATTCAAAGTTACAATGGCACTGAAAAAAGTAGCTTATGACCATTTAACAACTGAGGCAAGAAAGGTTGTAAAATGGGGCAAAATTCACTTAACAAATGTCTCATTTAACAATAGAAACTGTGGGCTCAGTTGTGTTTGTAAGTCAAGGACTACCTGTAACTGTTTGAAGTTACTAGAACTTATGTCCGCTCCTTGCACTTATGAATGCATGCCATGGTCACATGATCAAAATATGGGTACTTGGCAACCGGCATATATTTATGATGGTTTCAACATCCTGGGATCATGTGATTGCCAGTAACTGGCTTCTGAGGCAATGGGAGAAGTTGGATTCACTTAATGACTGCATGATTCACATACAACTGTGGTGATTTGTATATCAACCATGGCAAAAGGGTCATCAAATTTGGCATGACTGACTTAATAACCGCCTTGCTGAACCACAGAAATTCTGATTCCAATTGTAGTCCTAAATTGAGGCTTTCTTGTATTTTATGTGATCATAAGGAGCAAATTATTAAATTAACATGACCAGAGATTGTGATGTTAGATAAATAGATGATATTATTTAATTCTAAATAAGTAGAAATGAAACAAATAATTGTACTAACTCTACCACTACCTTTTTAATTGGGGCATTCTACTAACAAATGTATGTCAGCCCTTCAAGGTAGACCAGGCTAGGAAAAGTCATAGAGATGTATAATACTTTTATTTGAAGATTATCATAACAGAATCTTCCAAATTTGAATGTGTTTTTCCACTCCCTTTCTTTATCTTCTTGAGTGTTAAAGAGGATCTTGTCCAAGTTGTTTTCTCAGATTACATTTCTGTCCCAGACTGTATCTGACTGTTGGCTTGATAGCAACTCTTCTTCCTGTCCTACAAATTAATTCCTTGTACTCATTACATTGTGGCTCCCCCAAATATTTTTTCACCCCTGCAGTAGATTAATCTTCACCAACACGTGCTTTCCACTTGATCGGAGAATAGGCTTCTCAAGGCTGTTGGATCACAGATTTATTACACTTTAGTAGCAAGAGAAAGTATCTGGAAACCTAGCCCAATGTATCTGACATATGCCAAATTGACAAAGATTAGCAGAACTGAGGCTTCCACTCCTTTTCCTCTCTGTTATCCAACAGAATGCAGAAGATGAAAATTTTTTCCTTGGTCAGGTTTCAGTGGTAGATGGAGATGATGAATACATCTAGTCTTTTTGGCTGTCTGAAGGGAAATTCATGCACGCTACCACAGTCTAATGAATAACTGCCACAGTTAGACTTTAAACACATTTATGTGTTATTATAAATCGGTTAAATCTTTACAGGACAAGGATTGACCTGTGCCAAATTATTTGCTCCAGGGAGGATGGTTTATAAATTAAAACATTATGAAAGCCAGTTTAGTTTAATAGTTAAGACACCAGAGTAGGAACCAGGAAACTGTGAGCAGGCTGGATGACTAGGCTGGTCACTCTCAGCCCAAAAGACCCCTACGATGGGGTAGGCAACCTGGGCTCTTTTATGACCCATGGAGTTCAACTTCCAGAATTCCTGAGCCAGCCACGCTGAGGGAAAAGGGAGAGATTTCCAAGCTGAGCCATGCTGGCTCAGGAATTCTGGGAGTTGAAGTCCACGATTCATAAAAGAGCCGAGGTTGCCTACCCCTGATCATTTCTGTCACCACCAATAGATCAGCACTTAGTTGATCCCCAAAAAGTGTACATGAGGATAAACCATTAGGAAAGGGGGGAAAGGGATCATTAAAATACTGTACTAAAGAAGCGCACATTAAGATGGATGCAGTGATTTTATTAGACTTTAGTAACAAGAAAAGATATCTGGAAACATACCATAGGACTGATTTGATTTAAAAATGAAATATATTCACATAGAAAATAGTTTTCGATTTTTTCAATATTTTATTAGACTTTAGTAACAAGAGAAGATATCTGGAAACACTGTAGGATTGATTTGATTTAAAAATGAAATATTTTCACATTGAAAGGCATCATGCAAGTGGTCTCCATTTAAATTACTGCCTGAAAGCTAACTTTTCCCAGTTTTCTATCTGCCTCTGTATGTTGAAACAGAGTTTTTTAACTGGATTTCAGTGTCAATATTTTAATACTTCACACTTAAGGTATGTCAGTTTACCAAGTTAGATGAGTTTCCAGCTGAGCAAGATAAGGACAGTGTCTAGAGGCCTGGAGTTTCCATTTAAAAAAAATAGTTGTTGACATTTAGGATAGGAAACATTTCTTGAAATAGCTAAGAATGACCTGTTTTCATCTAATGGTTGGAAAGACCAAGAAGCTTCTGTATTTATTTTTTAATTTATTTTTAGGATGTTGTGAGGCTAAATCCCAAGTGTCAGAATTGTATGAAATGTTTTTCTGCTCCAGCTTGGTTTTAGTATATAATCTAGGACAGACATGTCAAACACAAGGTCCGGGGGCCGGATGCGGCCCACAAAGTGGTTTCATGTGGCCCGCGAAGCCATCCTGGAAACAGTGATGGAACGGCCCCCGCTGCCTGGGCCCTGGCCCAGGCCAGCTGGGAGCCAATGTACAATTTTGTGGTGGCCCTCTATGCTGAAACACATTCAGTCTTAGCTCCATAAGCCTCCCCCCTGCATGGCCTGAGAGAAACAGTGAGGCTCCTCCAGTGGACCATGCCTTGGCACTTGCCCTGGTCCCATCCCCTTCTGCCAGAGACCCTCAGATCTGTCCCATTCCTGCCCAGGCCCCCACAGGCACCTTTGACGCGAACAATGTAGAGCTGGCCACACCCACCCAGTAGGCCATACCCATTCCATCCATGCCTACCCAGTAGGCTGCACCCACCCTGGCCACACCCACCCGGCCCCCTGAGGGGAACCGCAATGCTGATGCGGCCCTCAATGAAATTGAGTTTGACACCCCTGATCTAGGACTTCAGCTTCTCTGTGTAAGTGGGGAAGGACTGCTTTGATCAGGATCTTTGGGTCTAAAATGACATTAATTTGAGTTCCTCGGTTCAACAAAGTCTTCTGTAGGATATTTGGTGGAGGAGGTGGTAATAATAATAATAATTAATAATAATAATTGGAAGAGACCTTAGAGGTCATCTGGTCCAACCCCCTGCTCAGGCAGGAAACCCTATACCATTTCAGACAAATGGCTGTCCAGTCTCTTCTTAAAAACTCCAGTGTTGGAGTATTCACCACTTCTGGAGGCAGGTTGCTCCATTGATTAATTGTTCTGTCAGGAAATTTCTCCTTAGTTCTAGGTTGCTTCTCTCTTTGATTAATTTCCATCCATTGCTTCTTGTCCTGCCTTCCGGCGCTTTGGAGAACAGCTTGACTCCCTCTTCTTTGTGGCAGCCCCTGAGATATAGGAACACTGCTATCATGTCCCCCCTCGTCCTTCTCTTCATTAAACTAGACATACCCAATTCCAGCAACCGTTCCTTATATATTTTAGCCTCCAGTCCCCTAATCATCTTTGTTGCTCTTCTCTGTACTCTTTCTAGAGTCTCAATATCTTTTTTTACATTGGGCGACCAAAACTGGATGCAGTATTCCAAGTGTGGCCTTACCAAGGCCTTATAAAGTGGTATTAACACTTCACGTGATCTTGATTCTATCCTTCTGTTAATGCGGCCTAGCACTGTGTTGGCTTTTTTGGCAGTTGCAGCACATTGCTGGCTGATATTTAAGTGATTGTCCACTAGGAGTTATTTAGACCATTTTGAGCTGGAGGGAAGATCAAACAATATCTAGGATGGACATACACAGACAGACATGCTAAAAACCAGTATAAAGTTTTGCCTTTTGAATGCTTTTATCCAAGGAACATCATGAACACTTTCTTGAGATTTTTTTTAAAGAAAAATATTCTCCAGTAATAATAAAAGAGTCTTGTAGTCTAATACTTTGTTGGAATAGTTTTTATATGTGTCCAAGAGAGCACTCTGATGTATGGAAATACCTAAGTAATGTTCTGTCATAATCATTCACAGTCAGAAATAACTAACAGCTCACAATCTCTTGATACTCCCTTTTTACTAGCTAATGAAAAATGGCTTTAAGCACAAGCCTTCTTGCCAAGAGTTTTTGTCTAGAGCATTGCATTGTGGAATAAGAAAAAACCACGTGTCT